GTTCTACTACTGATGCTGCTCCTACTCATGGTCTGAAGTTTTCTTATATTTAGGAACATTTCCACGCACAGGTACAAAATGATGAGTAAATTAGTTTCTACACACGAAATACGCACAGATCTGTGTGTGAGTACGGTTGATACATGAGGCCTGTGGAGTCTGGGAATTGCTCTACAGCAATCACTAAAAGCCCTAACTCATCAACTAAAGTGGGTGGAGACAGGACACTTTCTACACTAAGTTATCTCAATCTTGCCTAGTACATTTTTGGGGCTCTGTATAGATTTTACTTTGAAGAGGAAATGATTCTTTGAACTAAAGGTTGCAAACTTGATTCTGTATCTGTCCGACTCGAATGGCTTCTTCGGGTTTACGTTTATTAGTAAGTTCTTCTTCAGTGGTGCTCACTGATAAAATCTCCCTTCCTGTCATCCAACATCCTTCAAGACTTCTTTTCACAAACATTTTCTTATTAGCCCAAACAGAAAACGTATGTTCAAAACACAAACTATTGAAAAACCTACCTAACTTGGCTCCAAGCTTGGATTCCTGTTGTGTCTGGACAAAGCTGTCTTTGGTTTGAGGCATCCTTTGCTCCATAAGCTGCAAGAGCACCTGGATTTGTTGGTGTGGTGTCAGTGACATCCAGGTTTGCATGATGGTTCCAGTTGGGCTCAGTCTGGTCCTTAACTGGGTCCTGAGCTCATCCGTGAAGGCTTCCACTGCAAATGTATTTGGTGCTCATAATAATAAATCTAATGTAATAATAATGATGTGTAATCAATGAAGTTTGTTGTATTTAATCAAAAACATTTACTCACCATTGTCTTTTGACTGATCCATGTTGTAAAACTGCTGTTTTCCATGAGCGTTCAGGTCTGATCAGAGAAGGAAAAACACCAAAACAGTTTAATGCATTGAACAGCTCAGACCCAACAAAGGAGACAAATAAGGCAATAGACTCATTTTCTTACCTCAACCCTCATTTTGCACTGATAGAATTAAAATGAAGAAGCATGAAGTAGCAGCTAGCCCGCGGTGATCTTCTATAGCTTCTGACGCACATTAGCTGACCTCCAGGTTTGTCAGATAGAAGCTGCACTCTGAAGTGTGTTGATGATTGGATGCTGGTGGGTGGTGCTCACTGACTCTGGTCTCAGCTGATAAGGGTGGTCCATGAAAAACACCTTACACACATTCTAGACATTTTCTACAATGTTTTCTTCATATGTGTTCATATGACTCTGCAGGAGCCTCACCAGTAAATAGGTATTTTTAAGGATTTTACAGCTTCTGATTCTAGTATGTTGAATTCCTATTAAAAAGATGAAAAATTAACACTTTGGGGCTTTTGTATTTTCTGATGTTGGACATGCGTCCTTCTTCCAACAGTTTCCTCCTCTAAGTCTAGTTTAGTTATGTTTGTCATGATGTTGAAGGGGAAAAGAGAAAAAAAACTAGTGCTGTCATGAGATAAAAAAATTAGATTAATTATTGATGATCTGTAACTAATTAATGTAATTAATCTCCTTTTTATTCTCAACTAAAAATTGAGAAAATACATCCTCCATATTACTGCAATGCCAGACCTGATGCGGACACACACACACACACACACACACACACACACACACACACACACACACACACACCGAGGACAATTGACTTCCATTCATTTTTGTGACTGTATTAAGCCTAACTCATGCCATAACCCTAATCATAACCAGTGTGGCTGTATTCCTAACCGTAACCTCAACTGTTAAGCTTTTAAAAAAAGTTAGGACCAAAACATTTTTCTCACTTTGAAAAACGTTCTCACATTGTAGTGAAAATGGTCCTCAGTAAGTAGTAAATACAAGTACACACACACACACACACACACACCAGCCAATCAGTATGCAGCACATTCAATATTCATGTCCTGGTTGAGTCGGCAAGGAAACCAGTTTTTTTCATGGGCTCACCACTCGTGGGAGGGGCCAGAGGGGCCGGGTGCAGTGTGTGACGGGTGGTAGTCGAGGGCGGGGACCTTGGCGGTCTGATCCTCGGCTACAGAAGCTGGCTCTTGGCACATGGAATGTCACCTCTCTGGTGGGGAAGGAGCCTGAGTTGGTGTGTGAGGTTGAGAGGTTTCGACTAGATATAGTCGGACTCACCTCAACGCATGGCTCTGGCTCTGGAACCAGTTTCCTTGAGAAGGGTTGGACTTTCTACCACTCTGGAGTTGCTCCCACTGAGAGGCGCCGAGCAGGGGTGGGCATGCTAGTTGCCCCCTGTCTTGGTGCCTGCACGTTGGGGTTTACCCCAGTGAATGAGAGGGTAGCCTCCCTCCGCCTACGTGCGGGTTCTGACTGGGGTCTGTGCTCATGCACCAAACTACAATTCAGACTACCGACCCTTTTTGAAGACCTTGGAGGGGACGCTGGAAAGCGCTTCTTCTGGTGACTCCCTTGTTCTGCTGGGGGACTTTAACGCTCACATGGGCAATGACAGTGAGACCTGGAGAGATGTGGCCTGATCTGAATTCGAGTGGTGTTTTGTTATTGGACTTCTGTGCCAGTCATGGATTGTCCATAATGAACACCATGTTCAGACATAAAGGTGTCCTTATGTGCTCTTGGCACCAGGATACCTTAGGCCGCAGCTCGATGATCGACTTTGTTGTTTCATCTGACCTGCAGCCGCCTGCCTTGGACACTCGGGTGAAGAGAGGGGCAGAGCTGTCAACTGACCACTACCTGGTGGTGAGTTGGCTCAGATGGTGGGGGAGGATGCCGGTCAGACCAGGCAGGCCCAAACGTATCACGAGGGTCTGCTGGGAACATCTGGCAGAGTCTCCTGTCAGAAGGAGCTTCAAATCCCACCTCCGACAGTCCACATGTGTTTTGTGGATTTGGAGAAGGCGTTTGACCGCGTCCCTCGGGGGGTACTCCGGGAGTATGGGGTACCAGGCCCTCTGATATGGGCTGTTAGATCCCTGTATGACCGGTGTCAGAGCTTGGTCCGCATTGCCGGCAGTAAGTCGGGCTCGTTCCCAGTGAGAGTTGGACTCCGCCAAGGCTGCCCTTTGTCACCGATTCTGTTCATAACCTTCATTGACAGGATTTCTAGGCACAGCCAAGGTGTGGAGGGCATCCGTTTTGGTGGCCTGAGGATCAGGTCTCTGCTTTTTGCAGATGATGTGGTCCTGTTGGCTTCATCAGAACGTGATCTTCAGCTTTCGCTGGAGTGGTTTGCAGCCGAGTGTGAAGCAGCTGGGATGAGAATCAGCTCCTCTAAATCTGAGACCATGGTCTTGATTCGGAAAAGGGTAGAATGCCTTCTCCGGGTCAGGGATGAGGTCCTGCCCCAAGTGGAGGAGTTTAAGTATCTCGGGGTCTTGTTCACGAGTGAGGGAAAACTGGAGCGTGAGATTGATAGGCGAATTGGTGCTGCATCTGCAGATGTGTGGGCGTTGTACCGGCCTGTCGTGGTGAAGATAGAGCTGAGTCAGAAGGCAAAGCTCTCGATTTACCGGTCGATCTACGTTCCTACCCTTACCTATGGTCATGAGCTTTGGGTAGTGACCGAAAGAATGAGATCGCACATACAAGCAGCCGAAATGAGTTTTCTCCGAAGAGCGGCTGGGCTCTTCCATAGAGATAGGGTGAGAAGCTTGGTCATTCGGGAGGGGCTCGGAGTAGACCCGCTGCTCCTCCACATCGAGAGGAGCCAGTTGAGGTGGCTTGGGCATCTGGTCAGGATGCCTCCTGGACCCCTCCCTGGTGAGGTTTTCCGGGCACGTCCAACTGGGAGGAGACCTAAAGGTAGACCCAGGACACGGTGGAGGGACTATGTCTCTCACCTGGCCAGGGAACGCCTTGGGATTTCCCCGGAGGAGCTGGCCCAAGTCGCTGGGGAGAGGGAAGTCTGGGCCTCTCGACTTAGGCTACTACCCCCCGACCCAACTCCGGATAAGCGGATGAAAATGAATGGATGAATGGATGGATGGAGGAAACCAGTTTTAATTATGGGGTTGGATTTGTCCATTTATCAGGGCTCCTGAGACATTGTGAGCCCCGACAAAATTTCATATTCTACATAAAAGCTCAATGAACAGTTTCCAATTGTAATAATGACCATTCTAGGACCACTTTAAACCAATCAGACGTTGCTTTAGCTTTTAGCAGAATCTTTGTTTCTGTCATGATTTATTTTCCAGGCTCTGCTGATGAAAACATTAGCCGGGCCTGCCCGACCTTTCCTCTGTTTAATTCTACACACAGAACCAACGCTTCCCATAAGGAAGCATGGGGATGGCTGGCCAGGCTAGCAAAACATCATCACAACACAACGCTGCTACAACCAACTCTTTATTAGAGACTGCATTCTTACAGATAAGATATGAGGATTTGAGCCACTATCATGATACTTCTTTACTGTAACAGTCGCTTAACCTCTGCCAGTCTAGTAAAGCAGCATGACCAACCCAAGCCCAGGTAAAGGCAATCATTATCAACACACATTTCAGAATTTCTTTATTTGGAAGTGTTACATGCAAAACCTTTAATACAACTAAAGCAATAACTGTACATGGTTACAGATCACACCTGTTTCATACGTACTTGGATAGCTCAGACTTTCACCATCATTCCTAAACGCTATGATGGTTTATTGGTAAATGGCCTGTATTTGTAAGGTCCCTTCTAGGATTCTACAACCCCTCCAAGGCACCTCACAGCACTGCCACCTCCCCTTCACAAACACACACATTCACGTGCTGGTGTTAATGACGCACATTGTACCCACGGCCACCCTGGGGCTCACTGACAGAGGCGAGGCTGCTGAACACAGGCGCCACCTGTCCCTCCGACACCTACCGCCAGGGAAAGTGGGTGAAATGTCTTACCCAAGGACATGGCAGCTGCGGCAGACTATGTGGAGCTAGAACCTGCAACCTTCTGATCAAAAGGTGGGTACTTAACTCCTTTGCCACTGTGACCCCACGATGAAGACGAGTCCTACATGTAGTATGCAGGGGCTGAGTATAACAGGTAGGGGTTGAGTTTAGGATCTGTCGATGCAAAGCTGCTGCTCTCGTGCGCCTGGCGGCGATAGTATCTGCGGAGGGCAGGACTACTGGGGTGATGCTGTCTCACATGGAGGAAATATTCATCAGGCCGACTCGAGGTAAAGCCACAGTCCTCGCACACAAAAATCTTTGACCGTCTCTGTCGATAGGCATACTGCTGGTGAACACCGTGAATCTTCCTCATATGGGACTCCAGAGAACATCGCTGGGTAAAAGCTTTCTCACACAGCTCACATTTGTAGGGACGGATACCTGAAGGAGCAGAGCACAAAATATTTCAATAATACATTCAAGTCACTGAAATGTGCTTTTTTTAAAAATGTTTAGCAGATTCCTAAGAAATCTTAAGATTTACAATTAGCAGCCTAACCTGTGTGTGTTCTCATGTGCCTCTTGAGGTCAAAGGTGTCGTTGAATCCTTTGCCACAAAATCGACATGGATGTCTCTTCACCAGGCTGTGGCACTTGAGGTGACGAGTCAACATGCGCTGCAGGGGGAAGATCTTGTGACACACCGAGCATCCATATTCACCAGAAACAGGAGAGGCACGAGGACGAGGCTGGTAGAGAGACATCAACGTTAATCATGGTAATGACAGCGTACCAGCTCCAGTCATCAACTTGATGATTCAGCAAAACAAAACACCACTAACTATCCTCAGTCTGAGTTTAAAGTGTTATGACCGCTCACATGACAACGCTGCATCTTCTGTCTCACACACTATCTGCCACATTTCGTCACTCTGTTAACCCTCTCAGGTTCAAAATAAGTTTTGATAAAAGAAAGAATAACTAAGTCCTTCAAGGATACTTCTGAGTTAAAAATGTTGATGAAATACGTATGTGGAGTAACCAGGTAGGTAGGTTTTAACGCTGCAAATCTGCAACACCTGCTCCAGAGGGTTAACATGAAACAGTGTGTCACTAGCCTCGGTGCTAAACTGGATACTGGATTTACGATGGTACCACAGATCAACGCAGTGGTGAAAGCATGTTTCCTTCAGCTGCGCTGTTTGACTCGCCTGAAACCGGTGTTGAAATGGTCTCACTTGGAATCTGTATTTCAAGCATTCATTACATCTCATTTAGATTATTCAAATTCAACACTTGTTGGTGCTTCTGCCTCTGTTGTGAACAGGCTGCAGACTGTCCAGAATGCTGCGGCACGGTTTGTAACGAATACACGCAGGCATACTCATATCACACCGGTTTTAGATCATCTCCATTGGCTTCCTGTTATTTTTAGAATAAGAGTCATTATACTACTGTTTGCTTTTAAAGCACTGAATGATCTGGCACCCAAATATCTGTCTGAGCTGCGTAAGTCATATGTACCAATGCACTTGCTGCGGTCGGCTGAGCGCCTGCTGCTCTGTGAATCCAAAATGATCTACAAAACGAGGGGGGATTGGGTCTTTGTGTCATGTTCTTTGTCCCTCTGGTCCCCAGCCCCCTCCTGTTCTCCCTCCAGGTTCTCCCCTTGTGTCTCATTATGATCCCCAGCTCTCTCTAGGTTTCCCTCATGTTTCCCCCTAGTCACTCCCTGGTAGTTTCGATTTGATTTAGTATTAGTCCTCCTCTAGTTATTAGTTGTTTATATTTAGCCTTAGTCTTTAGGTTTAGTTATTCCGTGTTTTATAGGTTAATGTTTATATTCCCTCCTGCTTAGTTCTTTCCCCCATGTAGGTTATTGATGGCAGCTGCCTCCCCTTCAGATCTCACTCCTCACACCTGTCACCTCTTCCCCAGATTACCCCCCTCTGTGTTTAAAAACCCAGTCTTGTCCCTCAGTGTTTGTCGGTTCATTGTCTTTTGTCAGCGTTGTTTTTGTCCCCCTCTAGTTAGTATAGATCCTGGCTCATGTGAGAGCTTTTGTTTGTTGTCTACAGAACTTTAGGTTTTTGACCTCGTGTCCTAAAGTCTTTGTTTTTTCAGTTCTCATCCTAATAAAAGGGTTTTTTATTTGAACGACCTCTCCTGCCTCGAGTTGTGGTGTTCTGCTTTTTGCGTCCAAACCTCCAGCGCTCGCAGCGTGACACTTTGTGCACGCTGCTCCTGAGCTGAGAAATGCTCCGCCCATCACGGTCCGCCTGTAGTTGCGTTTTTTATTATGAACTGGATTATCGTTTACATTCTAATTTTTAGGGTCTTTATCAGTTTCACTGATTTGTGCCTCTTTGTTATGCAATATGTCAGGCTTTTACTGTTTTATTGGTATTTTACTCGGTTTCACTGACTGTTTTCATTGGCTCGTTGTATGTCCTTTGGTTTATTCTTAAGGTTTTATTCTTTGTTGTAATGACTTGTTGGATGAGCATAATTACTGTAACCTGTGAGGCGCTTTGGTCAGCTCACAAGCTGTTTTGAAATGCGCTTGATAAATAAACTGGTATGGTATCGTTGGTGCTCACGGGTTTTTTTGTAATGGGAAACTTTTAGAGCGTTTCTAGAAAAAGTACTCTCTGAAAGATCTCAGTTAATATATAATATAATATAATCGGATAAATATTTAGGAGATATTAAGACTTCCCTCTTGTTTAATAGAAGGAAGAGTTACATTGTCGATTTTTATGACCTCTATCAAAAAAATGGACGGTTGTCAAAATGAAAGTAAAACAAATTTGTATTTGCGTGAATAAACTTCAAATGTTATTCAAATATCCGGTGAACTGCAGTCATTTTGATGATTATGCATTATGGTGCTCAGGGATGGCTGAGAAGTTCCAGATTACGAATTCCTAAAGAGGCTTCAGACAGGAAATGACGTGTAGTATATTTTTCACCAAATAAAACAAATATCAGCCCAACTCGCTGCTAACACCTGCTGGGAGCCTGAGAGTGGCCCAAAGCTGCAGCTAGCCAAGGATTAGCATCTCTGGGGCTAATACAAGCTGTTGCAGTTCGTGGTTTAGTTTACTTCAGACACGCGTCACACAATTAATGCACCAATAAGTCATCTAAAAATGAATGTAGGAATGTGGTATGATATTCTGTTGTGTAACTATTGTCATGCATAAATGGCAAATGGCCTGTACTTGATGTAGCGCCTTCTAGAGTCCTGGAACCCCCCAAGGTGCTTTACAACACAATCAGTCATTCACACACTGGTGGGGATGAGCTACGATGTAGCCACAGCTGCACTGGGGCGCACTGACAGAGGCGAGGCTGCCGAACGCTGGTGCAACCAGTCCCTCCGACCACCACCAGCAGGCAAGGGGGTTAAGTGTCTTGCCCAAAGACACAATGACAGTGACAAACTGAGCGGGACTCGAACCTGCAACCTTCTGATTAACTCCTGTGCCCTATCTTGTTATGAATCAGCTGTCAGAACAGCTTTTTATCTGTTCGGTGTCCCAGTAGAGAGTGTGTTTACTGGTTATTAGTCTCATCTCTAGCAGCTCTAAAAGACAAGTTAAAACATTTAAAACTTTTTTCATATCGTCTTTAACACAAAACCAATTGAAAATGTGAAATTTTGGGGAGACAAAATATTTTTTTAATTATTTATTTTCTAACCCTAAAATGCTGAATAATAAATAAATACAAACTAATAATATTTAGGAGACATTTTAACTCATCTGGACTGATCTGTGTACCATGATGATTATTAAATGAACAATCAGTTTTAACATCAGCATTAAAAAAATAATGAAAAGAAAATCCCAGGGGTCCACATGCAAGAAGATGATACTGTGCCCTTGTGGTCTTAACAGGCCTTTTAATAATGTCTAAATTTACTGCAAAAAACTATATTCTTTATTTTGTTATTATTTAATCCAATGTTTAATTAATTGGGAAAGCAGGCTAAGAGTAAGTTATGTAATTCACAAAGGTTCAGTCACATCTGTTGTTTTCATTCAAAATAATCTAAATAATACAAAACTGAAAGAATGTGGACACTTGATCTCTTTATGAAAACTAAAAATGCCACTTATTTCTCGTCACACTGAAAGCAGATGATGCTACTAACAGCCAGATCTACGATCAGAGTCAGACTAAAGAGCTGTTATAGGAATGACCCACTATAGCTCAGTCCCAGTGAGCCTTTTTTAAACATCTCCAGTTGTGTTTTGGTCATTTTACTGTCAATTTAAAAAATAATGCCACCCTGATTTAGGATTAGGTAATAGCCTGATGTCTTTTGACCTGCTTGAAATGACTGGTGAATTGTGCTTTAACTGTTAATATTATATAGCACAAGATTGTTGACCAGAGAGGCAAGTAGTTTAACATTTACATAGTTAATATATTTAGTATAAATGTTACAACTATTTAACATCCACAGATGTTCGAAAAAGCTGAAAATATGCAGAAGTAAGATGCTAAACAGATGCAGAAAGCTCATATCTGCTTAAAATACAAATTTCCTCTCTATGTTAGCTGCCTTTAGAAATAAGCAGCTCAGTATATTTCCATTTAGCTTTTTTTTAATCTAAATAAGTCTTATTATTCCTCTGTCTGATTAGTCCCATCCATCCTGTTATGAAGTACCTTTGCTCTGCTGACGAGGCCCAATGTGGATGGAAGATAGAAAGATCCCACTTTGGACCAGTCTGGTCTGGTGTCGGCCCGTGGTGCTGGAGCAGGGATTCGTGCTGCCCCACATCCTGAAACGCCTGCAGGCTCGGGCACAGTCGGCTGCTGCAAGGAGAGTGCTATCGGCTCTACCGTATTCTCACTCTCTGGAAAAGGTTGGAAAAATATTTGTTTTCAACAACTTGAAATCAAACTCAAATAAACGAATTAAGGATTCTTTCCAGAGAAATCATTTCCTTTTCACCTTTTGTGTTTTCTTCTTTCCATTCCAGCTGCTCAGGTTCCTTCCACTGCCATGCTCCACATGCTCCATGCTTCTTTTTGATAAGGAAAGACCTGGGCATCTTGTGAACCCTGTAATCCAGGCACGCTGCTTATCGCTGTGATCTGTTACTGAGCAACTTCTCTATCGGCTTCACATGAAGAACCTCAGCAACCTGCAGCTAGAGTTTCCAGACAAAATCACAACAATCATTTGCATAAGAGAATGGAGAAGGTGGGGAGTAGGAGGATCACTGTTTAGACAGTGGTACACCTGTGCTGACTGTGCATATCTGCCATTTTAACTGGCCATCCATTGGTTTTGCATGTCAGGTAGTGAGGATCCAGGGAGCTTCTCATTCAAGTAGCCCTTGACATGCAAATCACAGCCCTGGACCAATCCCTGGCCCCGGACACAGGGCACGGTTTGAGTAACAGGAGCAAGCACACTGAAGCCACAGCATTAACTGCTAGGTAAATCAGTCTTTTCTTTCCTATTTTGGCTTCTCTGTTGTTTTGTTTTGTAGGATTACAGAGTTGGTTTGCACAAAAGCCCGGTCCCACGCTGGGAAGAGATTTCCAAGCCCTTGCAGTCAGTTGGCAGGACTTATTGTTTTCTTTCTGTTAAGAAGCGGTACATATAAAAATCGTTTCCTCTTATCATGTATATTTCACCTTTCTCTGTTAGGGATAGGGTTGTGACTGAAAATGATGAAGCAAATGTCTA